TCCCTTTAAAGAAAGTCAGTTCTTTTTGCAACCATCTTTGTAACACCCCCTTTTTCTTTTTTTTTTACGTAGACTAACTACTTGAAAAGGAAAAGATGGAAATCTCCAAAACTATTTGTCAAGATCACAATGGGATCATAAATGTTGCTTTTTTCCCCCCCTTAAACTGTGCTATAGTCTTTTCAGGCTGGTCAAGCTAATGTGCAGATGCATTCAAGAATAGGTGATGAAAAGCAATATCTCTATTGGCTCTTAACTAAAAGATAGGACTGCTATACATTACTTCAGCTGACATTTTGAGCATTATGATTCCTCGCATTAATTTTTCGTCTCCTCCTTATACTGTCTCTGAGGTTAGAATAAGATGAGGAGTAATGGCTGTGCGGAGTAACAGCGCTGATGTGGTAACAGAGGTCACAGTTTTAATCTCCGGTTGGGGCAGCCCGTGAAATGAACGGTTACCAAGATGCCCATCATGTTCTGTCACCGCCGTGCCCTTGAGCGAGCCTCTTAACTCATGGTTGTACAGGAATACTCCTGTAATTACAGGAACCTGTCCTTATTGTAGGCCTTCTGTAAGATAAAAGGAAGCAATCTTGACTTGGGAATTTAATGCAAGGTTGTATGTCTCAGATATGAGCCAGGTTAAATGAACACACATATATTATTTTTGATTTGTTTAATTTCATGTGTTAGTTCATTTAGGGTGGTCCTGCCCTTAATGGCTCTCACAGCACCAGTCCCATTTCTTGATTTGTTTCTCCACCTGGACCATTCAAGCCTACACACACACACACACACACATATGAATGTGGCCCGGAGAGACCAAGTCTGTGTATGTAAGTGTGTGTTCTCCATCATCCTTTAGCTGAGAGGAAAAGGAACAGGAAAGTGGGATATGAGCAGGTGAAAATGCGTGTGTAAAAAATGTTCTTGTTTCCATTTACACTCAAAAATAAATGTTCCAAAAGAGGGTTTCTGCAGTGATGCCATAGAACCATTCTGGGTTCCCCTAAGAACCTTTTAGTGAACAGTTCTTACAGAACAGAACCTTTCAGTGAACAGTTCTTAAACTAACTCTCTTTTTCTTAGTGTGAAGAACATCTTAATAATCTGAACTATAAACTTTTGGTTATATATTTGGGTATAGATTTACATCAAAAAAACATTCTAATTTAGAAGTAATAAGCTATTTTCTGTCCTGTTTTTGACCCCCTCTTTCGAACATGTCTCAGTTTTTTCTGTTTCTTCATGTAAAGATGGACTCGATGATGGTAAGATCAGATCTCCGTGTGTATCCTACCGGCTATTGTCAGACTCCATGTGCATACAAAAATCTCACTGGATTATTACAATTAATGGCAAAAGGAATGTTTGGAAACGTAAACAGATGTTTCTAACTGACACTACAGTAAAAGATATAAAAACTGGCTAAAAAACATTTTATTTTCTGGTGAAGATACTAACGTGCCTAAGACTTTTGTATATTATTTGTTCATAATATATATTTTTTTGTTACTAATGTTCAGCTTTTCTTTTTAATAGTCAACTTATTTTTAGCAGTCATCTAGCTTGTAAACACTGGTCACAGACACGAAGATGTATCTTTAATTTCCCCAAGCTGATTGTTCACTAAAAACCCAGTCATCATGTTTTCAGGCCATTTCAAGTTTGATTTTGGCATGACATAAAGTGGTGGTGATATTAGTCTTCCCATTAACGCCATCATTGGTTTCATTCAGGCCAATCCGTGAACGCGCACAAAAACAAGAGCAAGGATTTATCGCACAAACCAATCATAACCTATAATATCCAATCAAAGCGCGATGGAGACATTGCCTCCTCTCACGTGACTTTCCCCCATTTATTTTAAGTTACCCCCCACTAAACTCACCGCATGCTTTAGGTGGTCTGTTTTAAGTCAATGGGGACAGAGGAGGCACGTCTCCCGCTGTAACTACACCTGCGAGTGTTGCTGTTGGACAGTGTTACTTTATAAAAACGAGTGACTTTTACACACAAAAAAAACCTCATCTAGTATTTTGAGTAGGCACTGCCTCCCTTACCTCCTCGGGGGAAACGCCCCCAACAACAATGTGAAACATTTATGCGTATTACATGTGCTTTATAATTCTTGGTTGTGGCAAGTAAAGTTTAAGTAGGCTACTGAGTTACCACAGTTATAGTTGTCATGATAACTTTGTTTTGTGTAAATTTGTGTCGCACTGTCCTTCTTATAGACTATGCTTTTAGATAGAGTGATAAATTGTAATTTGCGGTGTCGTGTTTTAAATAAAACTGAAGTTTTTATTCAGGATTATAGCGAATGGCATAGATCAAAACAATAACAAAAACTAAATTCTCTACGTGCTGTCTTCTGTATCCGGGAATCCCCGTATTAAACCCTTAAATGCCGAAGCAAAGGAAAGAACAGAAAATCTCAACTGTTCACAGTCTGACTGCAGCGCTACAGTATAAATACTCAGTACATATCAAACAATCTGTAACAGACAAAGCAATAGTGACACATGGTAAAAACATTGTTACTCACACTTGTGTGTTGCGACATTGCTGTCGAATCCAATATAGTTGGCACTGCATCATCTTTTATTTTCAGTCTCTTGGAAATGCTTGCAACCGAACAATGTCTTGTTTAAAAACGAATTCGCAGGAAAATTAAGCCAACAAACGAACAGTGTCTTACTGACGAGATCTAGAACTTCGTTTAAAATAAGGTTCGCTTCTTCGCAAAACATCTTGTAATCCTCAAAGGCATCTCTATTGTTTTGTTGCTGAAGTAATCCTGTGTTTGTGTCTCTCTTGTATTTACTACTACATGACATGTGCGAATCGATGGGCGGGGCTAAAGAGCCAACGATGTCTTTCGCCACACTATTACATCATAATGTGACAAAATTCAAAAGTACTTTTTTGGGCAGCTTGGTGTCAGTGAAAGCTGTTTTTGGACTAATGAGGAAGTTTTGAGTTCTGAAACTTACATGAGATTTTAATAATAACCTTCGACTTACTGTATATGTCAAAAGATCAAGGACAATTTGATTTCACAATTCATGGCCCCTTTAATAGTGTACTGTATGTAGGGACATATTGTCATCCCACTATCACTACATGAAATCATAATTGACACTAGTTACTTTCTTGATGTCTTATCCTGGTACCTTTTATTGTGAACAAAATGCGAACCAAATGAAAAAATGGTAATATTTCATCAAAATGTATAAAAACGTGCACTTCCGACTTTCAGATGACTATCTTTCTTTCCTTTTTTTCCCCTATGTCGCTTTTTATCTGTATGGGCTAATGAATAAAGTAAGCCCAGCCAATTGGCTGTTTAAACATTGTTTCAGCAAACTCACATCCAGTCCCGTCTGGCTTTATCTCCTAATTTTTTATCTCATGAACAATATCCTGTTTCAATCTGAAATATGTCATGTTCTGGAAGTTTAATAGGTTGCAAATGGGGATTCACTTTGAATTTCTGTGCTACTTTTCTTAATTGCTTGTCATTGTTTTCTTGGTTAAAATATCTGATGATATGTTTAATCACTCTTACACCTGTGCATGTGTGTTATTGTCTGTTTCTATGTGTGTGTGTGTGTGTGTGAAGCTAATGGAAAACAAAGGTTTACATTATATGCTGCTGACGACATCAGGTCTCCATGACAGCTTATGTTAAGTATCATATAACATGGGCCAGCTCTCTCTCTCTTTCTATCTCACTTCCTCTATCTCTCTTCCTCTCACAGTGCAACTTGCTACAGTTGTGTATCTCTGATTATTGTGATTTCAGGTGCCAAAGACCTAGAAATTGGAGGTAAGGTGTGTGTGTTTGTGAAACATGGCGAGGAAAATAGAATAAAAATAAGGCGATAGAGGGAAAATGTAAATGTGTTTGAGAGCTTGATGGAATCACATTTGCTGACTGTTGCCCTCTAGAGTGTCTCATTGGTGCCATAATGACGCCACTCAGTCGAAAGTGTGTAGTGCAGCTCACACTGACCTGTGTTTGTAATGATTGCAGATCTCAACTGTCAGACAGATATATGTTCGTGGGAAACTGTTTTAAATATAGAGTTAAAGGGATAGTTCACCCCAAAAATGAAAATGTTGTCATAATTTATTCACTTTATTGTTGTTCCAAACCCATATAAATTTCTTCCTTTCCTTTCTTGAAAGTGTCTTACCTGCAGTTAATAAATGGTGACTGGACTTTCAAGCAACATAAAACATCATAAAAGTGATTAATACGATGCGTGCACTATATTTCATGTCATCTGAAGTCATACAATATCTTTTTGTGACCAACCACGATTTGAATTTTTATTCACTGACTTCTTCCCACCAGTGAGCTGTTAACCACTGCGACCGGATCATTGAATCTGAGAACCGTATCAGTCCAATTTGTGGACAAATCATTTACAGTAGGTTGGTTTTGTGAACTGGATCAACTGAGTCATTGAAAATATCTGACTCAAGAATGATTCGTTCATGAATCAGACATCGTTACTTTCTTATGACCTCTGATGAAAGATGTTCAGTGGATAATGACTCAGTTCTTCACACAATCTTATCATATGGCTTCAGAATCTTATAATTTTTTTTTTTTTTTTTTTTATCAGTCATTTTGAGTTCCTAAGTTGACATAAGGGTTAAGTAAATTTTGGGGTAAACTATCCCTGTAATAATTTACCTCATTACACTCCTAAGTTGAACTAAAGTTGCGCTGCAGTTTACTGGAACTCATCCAGAACTAATTAAAACATTCCAACGTAACAAAACACACATCTGATAGTGTACATCCCTGAATTCACAAGAGAAAGAGAGACTTTTACCTCTGACCAGTCTCCACCCATAATAGCCTGCCATCCAGGAGGGAGTGGCTGACCGAGGGAGGGGAAAGAGAGAGAGAGAGGGGGAAAGCTGGAGAGCTCTGCGGTAGCAGTCAGCGCAAAAACCAAAGCAGAGAAAGACTGAAAGAGAGAGAGAGAGAGGGGGAAAAGAAGGTACATTTGAGAAAGAAACTGTGGAATTAGCCACTAAGAAATAAAATTAAGGAGAAAAGGGAAAGAAGGAAGTCTGGAAAATAACTTCAGACCAGGACAGAAGACACACACAGAGAGAGAGAGAGAGAGAGAGAGAGAGAGAGAGAGGGGAAAAAAGACAGACACATGAATTAAAAGAAGTCTTGGACTTCACATTGGAGACACATGTTCATGCGTGGACTGTTTCTGCTGCTGTGATCTGTCATTCCTCCTCACAGCGTGTGTGTGTGTGTTCTTGAGAGGCTGAGAAGAGTGTGTGTGTGAGCCTGTCGTTCCTCTGGAGTCTACGGGACCATGGCACCTGTCAGGAATGGATGAACTTGAGGCTTAAACTCGTGGAAGAAAGAGATAAAAACAGAAAGAAAAAAGCTGAAAGAGTAATAGGTAAGTTTCTTTTCTAGCAATGCTGTGTGTGCATGTTGGAGTGTGTGTGGAAGGTTCTACCTCTTTAATTTGTGATTATCTGAGATGTTTCTATGTTAACCTGTATTTAATATTTTTGATATTTGTAATACTTTGAATAAAGCCCGTACACACAGTTTAAAAAGTGAGAATGTGTATATTGGGTAGGGAGCCCTCCAATGCGACAAGCTGTTCGACCTCTTTGTGCATGTGCATGCATGATGGCTTGGTATTGTATTTTTAGATATGAATACTGTAGTAAATTATGGGTGGATGTGTTGTTACGGGTATAAACACTTGTTTAGATTGTGTGTCTCTCTCTCTGTATGTGTGTGGACTGATCTAAACTGGACTGTTTTCTTAATATAGGGTTATATTAAAAGATTAAATGGTCTGTGAATAAGCAAGGGAGATAGAGACAGATAAAGAATGGAAGAGTGATAGGGAAAGACAAGTTCGTTCTGTAAGTGTGTTTCTGCTGAAATATTTACCCTGGTGCAACTCTGACGGTTCCTGTGGTGCTCATGGGAAGATGTTCTTTGGTTCACACAAAGAGCAAAAGACTGTTATCATCACTTCATCATTAACATTTTATGATTTTATATTTTCAACCCCAAAACATCAGAGATTAATGGAAAGATGACAAGATAAGAGTGTACATTCACCCACAAACACATGTTTAGCTTTTTTTCTGAGTGGAAATGTTCCATAGACATTTTTTATATATATATATAATGTTCATTTTAAATTATATTATAAAGCTTATTAACTTAAACATAATAATTATTAACTTATTAATATTATATATACATTTTTCTTAAAAATGTGTACATTACATGTTGTATAATATTTTTAAATATGATTAAATTGTGTGTGTGTGTGTGTGTGTGTGTGTGTGCGCTCAATCAATCAATCAGTTTTTTTAAATTACGAACATCCTGGCCATCCCAAAAGAGTGTTTGTGTCAGATTTTGGCCCCAAACTATAGCAAAGTATGTATACAAACTAAAACACACATAATCCATACCATGCACTACCCAAAACAGTAATTAGACACACAAACACTCACATACCTAGCCTCCCTCTCACACACACACACACACACACTCTCTCTCATTCACATGCATTCACACAGAAACACCGTGTGCTGTGTTTTTGGTCAGCTGTGTTTTGGGTGAGGGGAAGAATGTCGTGTTGTTTTAGTGGCGACTCTAAGAGAACATTGTGTGTGTGCATGTGCTTGATGAAATTACACGCAACGACTCGCGCAGCACACAACCGAACGGTCCCAGACTTTCCTTCAATGTGAATCACCAAGTGACTTTCTTCATTTTTCTCTGGCTCCTTGATTCTTGCTCTCAGGATTGGGGGGTGGGTAGAGAGACAGAGAGAGAGAGTAAGTAAGAGAGATTGAGAGTGAGATGGCTTTTAGCCCGGTGCCTCAGCCGGTGTGGATCGTTAATTGAGCTGCTCCCATAGGGGGGTATCAGACCCCAGATTAATTTGGCTCCCCCTCCTCACACAAGCGCACACACACTCATGCTTTCACCCTCACACAAACTCACACTCTCTTTTAGGGCCCTTTATATCCATCTATTAGACCACAGTTGTCAGATGTCGTGGAGATTCTATTCTGATTGGAGATTGCGGGTGGGTGTGGGCGAGTGTCTCTATGGTGGGGTTATTGATTGTTTTGTGGAGTGTAGTACTATTTAACTGTGGTGGGACCTGTAGGCCTAGACACATTAGGTTGTCTTGTAACAAAGAAATCATTCTGTACATCACTGTGAATGTTTCTGAGTTCCAAGCCATGGAAAATATATCAGGAATCTTACAAGTGTGCTCTCCAGGCATAATATACTTCACTTTAAAACATTTCATCAGCTAGACATTGCTTTTGTTTAGAGTTAAACTTATCAAGTTTATAGTGATGTCATTTTGAGTCGGTTCTTTTCAATTAATCAGTTGAATCAGTTGACTGATCGAATCAGTCGAAATCAAAATGATTTTTTAAAGTAATCACTAATCACACACACCTGAAAAGGTCATGGAAAAGTGAAATGTCAATTATGTTTGCACAGACTTTGGAATATTTTGGGTAGATAAAGCAACCTCTGAAATTCATTTTAAACTTCCTTTAAATACTGTTGTTACATAATCAATTCTCCATTGTTGCTCTATTATGAAAGTTACAGGGAGATGAAGACATATTAAATACTCTGCGGTATTTTTAATATTTTTTGTGGTTTAGAAAACTCGATTAGGGCCGACAGCAATGTCTTTTGAACAGCAGTGTGACTCAGTGGTTGCATCCGAAATTGTATGCTTTCCTACAGGCGAAAAACAGGATGTGACAAAAGTATGTAAAAGAGTAGGCAAAAAGTAACTGGATGACCTACTATTTCTGAAGATTCTGAAGTGTTTACTATCCCATGAGGCCACGGGAGATGATTTTTGAATGGAGGTAAAGCAACGCAACTGACGCTGGTAGGTCACACGATAATGACAACATGGCGAATGTAGTACGTCCAAATTACATTCATACTACACACATTCAAACATTTTTAGCACTCGCAAAGTAAGTACTGGAGACTATGCAATTTTGGATGCAGCCAGTGACTCAATATATCAATTTGAGATCTGTCCGAATGAAGATGTGAAGGTGGCACATGGTGTAGTGTAGGGATAGAAGATTTAACGGCTCGTGTTTTTGAGATGTGCGGGATTATGTGGAAAAACATCATTTGGGATAACTGCAGCAGCTTTCCCGAACTATGTTCAAAACATATAAATCTAACATGGTCACTCTTGGCTCTTCCTAGGCTTGGTGAGCTTGGAGATTTCAGATTCTGACATGCCATTCTGACATCCATTGGAAAGTTATTCCACAACAACATCAAGTTGACTGTTCTGATTTTGTTATTTTCCATTTGAATTTATTAAACTACAAAACAACACATCGGTTTATGTTATATACACTACCGTTCAAAAGTTTGGGGTCGGTACGATTTTAAATACTTTTAAAAGAATTCTCTTCTGCTAACCATGGCTGCGCTTATTTGATTAAAAATACAACAAAAATCAGTTATAGTATTAAATATTATTCCAGTGTAAATCAGCTGTTTTCTGTGTGAATATATAGTAAAGTGTAATTTATTCCTGTGATCAAAGCTGAATTTTCAGCATCACCAGTGTCAGTGTCTTCAGTGTCAAATGATCCTTCACAAATCAGTATAATATGAGGATTTGATGCTCAAGAAACATTTATTATTATTATCAATGTTGAAACAGTTGTACAGTTTTTTATTTATTTTATTTTTTAGGATTCTTTGATGAATAGGAAGTTCAAAAGAACAGCATTTGTTTGAAATAGAATCTTTTGTAACATTATAAATGTCTTTACTGTCCTTGATAAATAAAAGTATTGATTTCTTTCCTCCAAAAAATAAAAATAAAATTCTCACTGACCCCAAACTTTTGAACGGTAGTGTATATTTTCAAGAAATCATAAGTCAGTTGATAAATAGGTCTATGTAAATAATGCTATAATGCTTACATTTATTTTTTTGCATTTAAAATGATTGGTTTTAGTTTTTAGTGTCTTTAACTTTTTACAAAATAGTACAGAATTTTAATATTGTCAATTTATCTCTTATTGCCTATTAACTCTTTCCATCCATGTTTTTACTGTAATGCAATTGGGGGGCGCTATTATGCATTTTCTGAAAGAGTACAGAATCTCCGGATCAAACAGTGTTGCCAGACGTACGATAATTATCGTATTTGTACGATAATTTTGACCTCTGTACGATGTACGATCAATAATGAAAAAAATCCCATAATGTACGATAATTTCAGAATTTTGTGACACTTCAATCGGAGGTCATTGTAATCATAGTGCTTCTATACTCATTGATCTAGCTGTGGATCTACGTCATGATTGTGAGGAGAAAGTGAAGGTGAGAGAGCACGGCAGAGAGGGAGAGAGCGAGAGACGTGGCATGTGTGTGCCTCATGAAAGCTACACCCGTCAACAATCTAGTCTCCCCCCCCCCCCCCCCCCCCCCCCGTCAACCCGTTTGGCTCGTGTACGATAATTTTCTTCCAAATACGATCATTTTGAGCTTCTGGTACAATACTTGGATGTTTCCAATCTGGCAACACTGGGATCAAAACACAGGCGAAGAAGCAGAAACAAGCGATAGAAGCATTGCATGTAAGCTAACGCAATCATTCAACATTAAACGGCAAAATAAACCAAAACTGCCTAACAACCCCTTGAAGAGGAATAGGACTGTGAAGCTTTGGGGGGTTTGATGGACGTGATTTACTTCTTCTGAATACGATCTGGACGAAGTCTTAGACAAAAATGTGAATTTCTCCGCTTTTTGTTCAAAATGTTGCTTTTTTTAATTACTAAGTTTTGATTAAAAAAAAGGAATGCACGAAGCTTACATAATTTGTTTTTTAAAGCAGAGGCTCTGTTCTCTCTTTTGATATATTGTATATTCAGACATGTTTTCTGTAGTCACACATAACACCACCCTGTATGCAACGACACTTCATTACAAAAGGTTTTGTAATCTTTTACAATCTCTTCAAGTCTAAACGAAACTTTCATTGTAGCTTGAGCAAGACCAAAGTGCTGGTTTGGTATGAAGCTTGCCGAAAGTTAATAATTTAACAATAACAGAGCTGTCTATAAAACGTTTTATCTCTTCCTGTTTTGATTATTCAGATATTGAGTTTATGTCGAGTGTCTTTTTTGAGAATGTCTGCCGAGAGTTTTTAGAGGATATTAAGATGGCGAGAGAAGAACAGGACCGAGTCAACAAGTGCAGAAACGTTGAACAGGTCAGTTTACTGAAGGTGGGACAACATACTGGTGGGAGAGGAGAAGATGAAAAGATAAGAAAGAATGATAGATCAGGAAGGATTAGAGAGCAGTGCAGGAGGGTGTTGATTTTTGTAATGATACTGTA